TGACGCAAAGTGGCAACTAATTCAAGACGTAAAATACCCCCAAAAAAAGCGCTCACCTCTTTGGTGTTGATGATGCCTTTGACGTATTTCCCGAGGACGGAATCCACGAAGAAGACGCTGGACAGCACAGCCAGGCACAGGAGTCTCTCCCCGACCCTCACCTCCATCTTTCTCTCTCCTCGCTGTCGCGACTCTGCTCTCCGGGCTCCCCGAAAAAAGCCTGTCTCTGAGCGGGAGCGCGCACTGAGCAACGGCTCGAGCACGAGCGAGCGAGAGCGACGCGTTCACGCTAGTCCCTTCAATGCATGTGGCCCCCCTACAGTGGTTGAAGCTGGATGGTGTGTGTGTATGTGCGCGCTCCCGGTTCCGCTCGTGCTTTGAGAATGCGACACGTCCGCACATTAAAAATGCTTTGGCTGATTAAAATCATGTTTTCATTAGAGGTCACAAACCTGTAATGAAGTATCACGGAGACAGATGATGCCTGGCCTCCTGGCTCGAGTTATTATATCACTAAGCAGCAGCATGCATCAACAGGATCCAATAGGCTGCATTACTGCTGACTTTACATTTTTACTCAAAGTATATTCTTAAATAGTCTTAAACTGATGGTATATATATTGGAGCCTATTTATTTTTGGATTTGCACCTTATTGATATTTTAAACTTTTATATTTGCACTATTACAAGTGTGCAACTTTGTATTGCAACGGCTGCGCAGCAATTCCCCTCGTGAGATAGTTTTAACACAATGTAAAATACTGTTACAAGTAGCCTGTAATCACTGCATTAAAAAATGTCCAAAGTAACAGCAATATCAGCCAATGTTAGGCTACATTAAATATCAAAAGTTATACCGAATTCCACTTTATCACATATACAGTAAGTATATTATTACATATATTATTGATTCGAGTTGTCTTAATGTTGCAGCCAATTGACATGTTGGGTAGTTAAACCCATACATCACAGGATTGTTAAATCTTTATCTGCAAAGTATCAGTCGGCCATATTTTCCTCAGCAGTGGAGAAGAAGTATAAAGTAGCATCAAATACTGACAGTTATTGGTTACTTTCCATCTGTGTAGAGAAATGATAAATGAAAAAGCTCTCTACATTGTGTTTTTTTTTTTTTTTATTTGATCTGACACTTTATAGTTTAACAAAAGGTCAACCTAGTAGTTGACCTTTCCCCATGCCCTGAATCAAGATTTGGGTAAAATGAAATTAAGAGTTTTAGGTACTCACAAAAAAACAAACAAAAAAAAAAAATCAAAAGAGACTGGCTAGTAGATTGAATTATAATCTCCATTTCTCATTGTTGATGACTTTCAGTCAACCTTTAGTGGGATCAATGAACGGCTTGATTCATGAACACAACAGCGGGTTCATGGGAGAATATATTTATTCAGATAAAAATCAAAAGGAAGAAACCAGCCTACTTTGTGGCGAATCAGACACCACATTGTAGAAAAAAATCAATCTGATTAACACATCTGAAAGTAAAAATATCTACATGAATCACATAGTTTGATATACATTATTTTTGTATTCACAGGTTTGCACTTGTGGCGTTTTGAATAAATGAAAATTAAAAAAAAAAAAAAAAAAAAAGTAAACTTAAAACATATTTGATTCCAGTCCATGGTGTGTTTTTGTTCATGTTATTTTTTTCAAAGGCTTATCATAATCTACATCAGGATTACATTTTACAGTGCGGAGCAATTTTGCATATGGAGTGCAGACAGGTTATGGCACCGACTAGCACCTGCATTCGTTATGATACCAGTTAACAGCAAACACTAAACGGCAAGAACAGCACATCTGTTACAAGACTGTGGCTGCAGTCTTTGGTTGTGTTTCAAAACTAACAATACATTTAGGATCTAGCTTACTGATCAAATGAGCATTTACCATTAGTAAACAAAGTGGTTGAGGTCAGTCGCACAGGCGCATTGATTTTTGCAGGAAGTTTAAAACGAGTGTCGTGGTTTATAGGCTGGTACGCCAACCTCAAGGTGATTCAAACGCTTTGCACGACAATAAATGGCACCTCAGCATTTCTGACTGAGGAAACGGACACTGTGAAGAGATGGTGCGATGCTGGTGTGCAACTGCCTAGTTTTACTGTAAATGTGGAGGCAGTTAGCTCATAATCTTTAGCAGCATTGTACTTTGCATTGCACTTCAACGAAATCAGCCCGAGGCAAAGAAAACCTCACGCGGGAAGAGCTTCTGAAGAGTAAAGCTGGAGGTAAGCTGTACAACCTGATACTTGAACAACCAAAAAGACAAAAAAAAAAAAAAAAAAAAAAAACACACTGAACTACTATAACTAGTTTGCACTCACAAGGACATTTAGAGATACAAAGTTGGTCTGTGGCTCATCAACAGTTAGACACGGATAAAGCAGCAACACTGAATCATACACGTTAGCTCTATTCTGCAGGAAGCATATAAGCATCGGCAAAACCCCCAATGGAATTTTTTTTTAAACTAAAACGCTAACACTGCAAACGTATTTGTCCATAAGACCAGATGGGCTCTCTGGTTCATCACCTGCCGTCAGGTTAGCCTGATGCATGAGTGGTCATCGAGGGTAAGACGCATACGGGATTCAATAAACAGCAAGTGGGTGAATTTGACACATTTCTTCTACGTTTTCTAACAGCTCACATATTAAAGTTCACACAGCACAGGGCCAACAACCAATGGGCTCCGCGGGGCTTCATAGGCAGGGGGCGTTTTCAGGATTGATTTAAAAAGTCCAGTCGATACATACCACAGAGAGAATGTGCCAGAGCAGCTTGAGGTCGCTCTCAACAGGAGATGATTAATACTGTGTGTAGTCTGCTGACTGTAAAGTGCCATTCCTTTCTTTATGTGAACACAACACAAAAAAACAAAGAGGACGCGCTCATGTTTGTCACACACACCAATGAGAGTGAATGTGTAGATACAGACTCCACTTGAGCCTCACATACAGGCACCAAAAAAAAAAAAAAACATGACGCATATACAAACTTTAAATACATTTGCACAGATTGACAAACTACTGCAAAAGTGCAGAGTGAGCATAAGCGGCGACTAGTAAAGCAAGACCAAACGTGGGCCCGGTATTTCCGAGAGGATGAGAGTATTACTTTCTTCGTCTTCACGGCCCCGGTTCTCTCCATCAAATCGGACTAAAAATATTGCAGTAAGTAGTTGGCGCTGACAGAACTGAGCATGGTCTAATCCCGTAGCATGACTTTGCTGCTTAAAAATCCAGCTCTTCTACGGGGGAGAGGATTTTGCACTCAGAGCTTCAGCTAAATCCTATTCATCACTCAGCATCCTTCTCTACAGACCTGGCAACCTCAGCTCTGTTACCGGGCAAGGGCAGGACAGCGACAGCATTGTTGGCATCTATATTTAGTTGGACCTGAGAGGGACTGAAGGGCTTTTTTGTGTGTACTTCAAAGTGCTTTAGGTGGAAACACCCTTAGAGGAGTGCCCTCAGGTTGATGAAAACAAAGTGATGGTGGGGAGAAAAATATATCTGGTCCACCGGCCGCGTTTAGTTGGCCAAATTAAAGTTCAGTGGCTTTCACATGGAACCTCTTTTCCTGGTCAGAGTCCTAGAGTTTTGCCTAAAAAGCGTCTGATTTGAAGAAACAGATCGCCAGGCAGGAAATCCCCCGACTCAAGAGAAGTGGTACTTTGACTCACTGCATACTGTGCAGAGAAGTGAGCAAAGACACCTGGCGGGCGACGGGGAGAACCTCGAATCAGTGCATTGGAGTTCAGAGTGTGTATCGATAGCTGAGGGCTTCTGGCGTGCGTTTCTTTCTAACATTAGAGAATGTTAACCGATTCTTTCCAGTATTGAAATAAAAACAATTTAAACATTCAGCGTCTTTCAGACATCTGAGAGCAATGCTTGCTCTTAAAAGAGGGACCCAAATTCTAAAGCAAATAATGCAGCTCGGTGCATCTGCAGAAATTTCACTGTGGCTATTAATAAAATGTAATCTATGCATTAGTTATATCAGCACTAGAAAAAGGCACCGAGCAGCGTCTAGACAGGGCACCGCGTCCCCGTGTGATATTCTACATACTCTCCTCTATCCCATCAGTATGCATTACTGGGAGGAGGATTTGAGTTTAAATGGAAAAGGCCGGAGATGTCGGAGCAGCTGTGCCAAAGAAGCAGAGGTAAATATTGAGCACATTCAAAAATGTGGAATAAATAGCAAAAGATTACAAACAGCATAGTGTACAAATCAACAAACAAACCTGCGATGATTGAAGGGTTAAAACACAGCAATTGAAAAAAAAAGATATATAAATAACTAAAGTATTACTACTGCATAAAAACAGTCTCAAGAAACAAGTGAATCAATTCCTCCAGTTTGGAGCCGTTCATTCGGTTCTGCTTCAGCATTGTAATTTGATTTAGGAGAGTCAACAGACGTACTACCCACAAAGAGAGTTGTATTGACTTCCAAACTGGCGCAACGGAGAACACAATGTGGAGTTATTAAGCGTGATTTAGAGTGGCCATTTTGATGGGGATGGCTCCATAAGCATACAGCGTGCCTACCACTATCTGATTAGGGCCTCAAATGACTGCCTTGTCCCGAGATGAATCTCCCATTCAGGCTTCGTCTTCAGTCTCTTATGCGCTGCTTACGCGATCCAGTATGTGTGCTGCATGTGTGGGCGAGTGCTGGTCTTTGATCTAAGAAGCTGCTAAATTACCATTTTATTCTAAAAACACGATTGTCTCTTGTGGGTGTTTTCATCTTGTCTGCCATGCGTCATGGAGCACAAACAAGTGGCAAGAATGGTTAAGCAGAGGAAGATGTATTTCAGTGCTCCTCTATTTGTTTTTGTCTCTTAAAAGAATATTCACCTCGACTGCTGCCCTCTCCCTCAGTTTTTAGGATGCTGTGTCTCTCTCTGTCGGTGTGTCTCTCTGTCTGTCTCTCTCTCTCTCTCTCTTTCTCTCTCTCTGTGTGTGTTTGTCTCTCTCTCTCTCTCTCTCTACCCCTCTCTCTCTCTCTACCCCTCTCTCTCTCTCTACCTACCTACCTACATTTGTCTGACTTTCATTTACTCTTTCTCCCTTCACTCCAAGGGTCAACTGCAGTTTTGTTATCTAACCGTATTTACAGCTCAATACTAACAGCATCAGTATTGTTCTGGGCTGCCACAGCAACTAAGCCCTCCCCATCAGCAATTTTAGACCCCGTCCCGACAGCAAGCTCCCCTCCCTCAATGGGGCCGTTGCAGAGAGACCCGGCTTCCCCAGAAGAGGCCGACACGCCCCTATCGGTCCGTTCCAGCTTGCGGTGCTTGCGTGGCTCCGGGGGTGTGTCCTTCTGGGTGAAGACGGCGCGAATTCTCTCCGCGCAGATGTTGGCAGCCTCCTTCGTCTCCCTGCAGAGCTGCGATAGGCTGAGGAAGCCGTGGGGGAGGTCGTCCACCACGCACAGAGTGACGGGCTGGTCTATGTTCCTCAAGCGCTTGGCAAACATCACAGAGTCATCCAGCATGGGGTCCAATGCACAAGCCTGAGAGGGGAGAGAGGAGAAGCAAGCGGGGGGGGGAAAGCACATTAGGATTCCCTTCAGACATGTCAAGAATCTTAATGAAGGGATGAAGAAAAGGAAGCCAAGCATCCCAGTCTCTTTTGTCCCCGCTTTCTACATCCTCGCTGACTCACTGTAGCCACTTTAAAATCATTCATTTTCATATTAACACCCTTGAGAGAGCAGGCTTCAACTTACAACAATACCGTATCTGCTAAACTTGATGAAGAAACATAAAAAACTATTCGCTTTCTCATAGAGGATTACACATGCAACCAAATGTAGACAGTTCGAAGGACTCAAACGCTCTTTAATGCACTTATTGACAGCTTACCCAACACTCGAGTTGAGCGAGCAACCATTAAACTGTATTTAATTGTATAAATTCCCTACTTTCCAATTTCCCTCCACTCGAGTTAAGTAAAGCGTCATTATCCTGTTAATCGTTCCAGCTGCTGCTTCATCTCACCACTATGTGTACAGGTGGCAGCCCTTTCAGCATGCTATCAGGAGCCAGCAGAGGAGAGCAGAAGGGATCCTTGACCACTGGAGAGCTCTGCATCGTCATCTCAGACAGCTGCTCTGAGCGCAGCGGCTCGAACCCCAGGGGGAACTCCCTCCGGTGCTCCAGCTCGGATCCCTCCTCTCGGACAGGCGGTGGTATGGCCACTGAAAACAGGTCCCTGGACATGGAGGGGTCTGCATCCTTGGAGAGGAAGAAATTCACATCTTCCGGCTACAAAAAAGAAGAGATCAGAAATGATTCGGGGAAAAGTCGAAGGAGAAAGTAATGTCAAGGACATAAGAAGAAAGGCATAAAATAGTAGACGGGCAAACTTGATTACAAATACACAAACGGTACTTTGTCCTTGTGAACATTTTCGAAAAAACCTTGGCTCGGTGCCTGAGAGAGTTCTTGGCTGCACAATCCCAATTTCAAGGAGGAAAAGCATATTTAAAATCTTGCGTCACCCCTACTGGTTTTTTTTCCCCCCTCAAGCCAGCGACTAATCCAGTCTGCCTGTGTGGAAATACATGCGAGGATAATCTGCAATACCTTGCTGGTAGCCGTGCAACCAAAAAGCTTTGATATTTTACAGGCAGATCTGTTTACGAGGCACGGGTGACATAATCTCAGCTGAGTTCATCGAGATGAAACATGCACATCACTGCGGGGTACACGACGATGTATGATAGAGGGCCAAAATATCGCCACGCTGATAAACTGCTCCGCCTCTTAAAAGGGCTACAGCTGGCTGCTAAATCATTTTAAAGGCAAGCTGTACGAAAGCAGAGATAACTTGATCATAAGGGGGGAGGCTGGTGGGTTTTCTCTGTAAGACTTATTATTAAATTACAGATCTTTTAATCAATGCAGGTTAAATTCCCACAGCTATCCCTACTAACAGCCAAGTGTTCTCTTAAGCAACAGCCCGTAGCCATTTAAGGCTGTTCATTTCTTCTAGACAAGAGCATCAGCTGAGCGCACGCTAATCTCAATGTAAACATGTTCAAGCGTGACGTACCGTGCGCTCAGAGAGCACCGGTGCACTGTGAGAAGTAGAGTTGTTGTGGGATCCCAAGTCCTGGCAAGTCTGGCTCTTCACAGATAATTTCCTGGAGAGGAACTCTGAGGTATCGGAGGCTACGGGGGGGTCGGCGTGAGGAGAAGAGATGGACGCCTCGGAAATGCTCTTCCTCACTGTGTCTAAAAAAAAAAAAAGATGGAGACATGGGGAAATTAATGAGACATTTAACAAAACAAAAATCTAAATGTTTGAGACAAACAAAAATAACCATTAATGACACAATGTACGGTATATGATGTGTAAAGGATACCGACTCAGGCTCAATAGCAGCTAGAGGACAGGAAAAAGTACACAAATAGTACTACACAATCCCTTATTCTTCCGTTTCCACTTATCATATGTCCTCTGGTTGACAGCCAAAAGCTAAAAGCCTAAAATGCAAATTGGGATAAATCAGAAAGAAGAGAGGGGAAGTGGGTGGAGGATATTTAAACAGTGCTGTCATGGTGATATCATTGGCCCGCCCCGAGCCGTCAAAACACAGCTGCGAGAGTCGTCACTGCTGGTCTCTTCCCAAAGCGCTCCCGATCTCCCATCTCTTTAATAACGGACATCTCAGCGCCATGATGGCCTTTTAATAATGCAGACCCACCTACGACATTATCATCAGTTTGGACTTGCAGCTGTGGGGTGGGGTGGGGGTGGGGTGGGGTTGTCACCTAGCTAAAGGGACACCGGGGAAATTACGATACGCCACCGGATTTACGGCGGCTACAATTAACAATTACTGTCACGGCCCTGCTGCTCCAAAGAGGTGAATTGATATGAATGGGCTACAGGAGTGTTACGCAACAAAGGTGGGCTAAAGCGATAATGGATTAGTTGAACGCGGAATAAAGGGGATCCATCTCAATAACCTCCACCATATGGGCTGTAAATGAACTTTGGGGTAGTTGATGTTGTTGCTCTCATAATTGGTGTAATAAAGACGCTGAAAACGTGGGCGGCGCGCACACACACACACACACACACACACACACACACACACACACACACAC